TCTGAAGCTGTGAGGATCTCTGGGCCAAATTAAAGTCCCTTGCAGAAGTGGGAAGGAGATAAAGCTCTGGGACTGAGGCTTGTCTTTGAGGGTTGGGGAGATCAGGACTTCCTGGAGGAGGAGGTCTCTGCACTGAGTCTTGAGGGACAGAAGGTTTTGTTGGGTGGAGGCAGCCCTTCCTGGCAGAGGCTGTGGTCAGGCTGAGGGGTCTGTGGTTGGATTCCAGTGCTGGCGGGTGAAGGGATAGGGACCACCTTGGGAGGGACTGGCCAGGGGTCATGGCCTGGGAGGACTAGGAGGGATCTAGTTAAGGGCCCATGGAGCTGTCAAGACTCTGTCCCTTAATACCCCGGGTATACCCTTGGGTCCCCAGTGAAACCTTTCCTTGGTATAACACGTTCGGAAAGAGGTGTCTTACACCCTTCAGGGGTGAGGGTGAACTCATGGCAGGCTCTCAGTCATCCTCAGCTGTCAGCTGTGCCCGCAGGCGCTGTTCGTGGTGCTGTTACTGGGCTGGGTCTTCGCACCAGTGTACCTGACCGCGGGCGTCATTACCATGCCGCAGTATCTGCGCAAGCGCTTCGGAGGCCATCGTATCCGCCTCTACCTGTCAATGCTCTCGCTTTTTCTGTACATCTTCACCAAGATTTCGGTGCGCATTCATGGAGGGCGGGGGAGGGCCCTGGAAGGGAGGGACCACCGAGTGGGGGTCTCTAGAAAGCCCTGGAGGGGGCGGGACAAAGGAGAAATCCCTTGTAAGAACCAAGACTGAAGCACGGTCTGGAAGAAATAGGTTTGGGGGCCGTGGCCACAATGGGTGAGACCTGGGAAGGGCAGACCATCGGAAAATAAGAGAACCTTTGAAACGTGGCCACATAGGGTCGTGGTCTGGGCATGAGGTAGACCTGGGTCCCTGCCTGGATCCCTGGGTCCTGACCTGTGCTATCACTCCTTCTCCCAAGGTGGACATGTTCTCCGGGGCAGTATTCATTCAACAGGCTCTGGGCTGGAACATCTATGCCTCAGTTATCGCTCTTCTGGGCATCACCATGATCTACACTGTGACAGGTGGCTGTGGCAGGGGCTTAGGGATGGAGTGGGCTTGAAGATATGCTGGGAGCGTCACTGAAGCAAGCACATTCTGCTCACTAATTCCTGCCTCCTGATGCCCGGGTACATGAGCCTGGAGAATGGGCCATTTCTTTGAAATTTGCTCTCCAGGAAGGAGCACATCTTTCAAACCCGCAGAAAGACACCATATGTGCTGGGGGCATCCTATTTGGGCTGTCTCCACTGACTCAGGCCCCGTTGCAGGAGGGCTGGCGGCACTGATGTACACGGATACCGTGCAGACCTTCGTCATTCTTGGGGGGGCCTTCATCCTCATGGGTTACGGTACGGAGCTCAGCCAGTGGGGGAAGGGCACAGAGGTTGCGAGTCACAGAGCTCTCAACCTGGGAGCAGAGACATTGCACGTCTCCAGCATATGGGTCCTAGGGAGGGCCTTGGCACACGCGCTGGGTCCCCTGACAGCCTTGCCCTCACAGCCTTCCACGAGGTGGGCGGGTATTCGGGGCTTTTCGACAAATACTTGGGAGCAATGACGTCGCTGACGGTTTCTGAGGATCCGGCGGTGGGCAACATCTCAAGTTCCTGCTATCGACCCCGGCCTGACTCCTACCACCTGCTCCGGGACCCTGTGACAGGGGACCTGCCATGGCCAGCACTGCTCCTGGGTCTTACCATCGTCTCAGGCTGGTACTGGTGCAGCGACCAGGTGCGGGGTCAGGGCTTGGGCCGGCAAGGAAGCTGGGGAAGAACCAGAAACCACTGTGGGCAGAGCTGAGATGGGTGGAACCGGAACCCAACTCAAAGACCCGGTTGAGTGGTCAGGAACCTGGCCGGGATGGGGCTAAACCAGACCCAGTGGAATCCAAAGACTCTGGTTCTGAGTGAAGGTGAATTGCCAGCACCACTGAGCCAGAGGCAGGCCTGAATTAGAGCAGCGAGTAGAGACAAGGCCTGAGAGGGCGAGGTATGCAGGATTGGATGCAGGGAGTTGAACAGCCCTTGCCGCAGGTCATCGTGCAGCGCTGTCTGGCCGGGAAGAGTCTGACCCACATCAAGGCGGGCTGCATACTGTGCGGCTACTTGAAGCTAATGCCCATGTTCCTCATGGTCATGCCAGGCATGATCAGCCGCATTCTTTATCCAGGTAATGTCTGCAACCCCGCCCCCACCAAGAGTCCTGTGCCCCATCCAGCCCCCTGTGTACGGTAACAGGTGCCTATTTCCCGTTTCCATTACTGTCCTTTGATTTGGAAATCCCATCAACCCAGGCCCACCTCCCACCAGAGGTCCTATCTCTCTTCCACTAGGATTTCCTTTCCCCACTTTAGGGATCTGAGTTCCCAGACCAGGTCCCGTCCTAGCCACATTGTGCCCTCTTTCCTGCAGACGAGGTGGCATGCGTGGTGCCTGAAGTGTGTAAACGCGTGTGTGGTACCGAGGTGGGCTGCTCCAACATCGCCTACCCGCGGCTTGTTGTGAAGCTCATGCCCAATGGTAAGAGCTGGCCAGCTGCAGAGACTGCCACTGGGAGGAGTCACCCCGTGCCAAGTCTGCACCCTCCCGGGGATGGCTGGGGACTCACAGCTCCCATCGGCCTGCAGGTCTGCGCGGACTCATGCTGGCGGTCATGCTGGCCGCGCTCATGTCCTCGCTGGCTTCCATCTTTAACAGCAGCAGCACGCTTTTCACCATGGACATCTACACGCGCCTGCGGCCCCATGCAGGCGATCGCGAGCTGCTGCTAGTAGGACGGTGCGGCCTGGGTTCCCCCCAAGATCCTGCCCTACCAAACAGCCATGGGGTGGGGGCAGGGAACCCTCACAGGATTACGGGGAACTGGGGAATCCTGTGAAATCTCCCGACGGCCACCCACTGCAGGCTCTGGGTGGTGTTCATCGTGGCGGTATCCGTGGCCTGGCTACCCGTGGTGCAGGCAGCGCAGGGCGGGCAGCTCTTTGACTACATTCAGGCAGTCTCCAGCTACCTGGCGCCACCTGTGTCTGCCATCTTTGTGCTGGCGCTCTTTGTGCCCCGTGTCAATGAGAAGGTGAGTCTGTGTGTAGGTGGTGAACTTGGGGGCAGAACCTGGACAGAAGAGGCTGACATTCTCTCCCCTGGCAGGGTGCCTTCTGGGGACTGATTGGGGGCCTGCTTATGGGTCTGGCACGACTTATTCCTGAGTTCTCCTTTGGCTCGGGCAGCTGTGTGCAGCCCTCAGCGTGCCCGGCGCTCCTCTGCGGCATGCACTACCTCTACTTTGCCATCGTGCTCTTCATCTGCTCTGGCCTCCTCACCATTGTAGTCTCACTGTGCACAGCACCCATCCCACGCAAGCACGTAAGTGCTGGCCTCTGGAAGGGCACCAAATATGCACCATGTGAGTCAGTGCAGCCCTCTCCACCCCCTAGTCTGCCAATCCACTTCCAGGAATGCCCAGTGAGGAGGACCTGGATTTCTACACTGAGGGTCCATGAGGGTAGACTGGGAATCCAGTTGGAAGATGCATTTGCAAAGCAAGCACAACATTTTACTTAAATGACATTTATTTGAGGTGTTCTGGGTGGGCTTTAAGACTGTGGGGGAGGTGATGACCTCCCAAAGTCCTTGCAGTGGCCCCCAGGACTCAAACCACAGATCTGATTGGTGGCTAAGAGGGACAGAACACTATCCTGAAGGCCCACAAGAGGGTTTGGTCTTGTGCTGCTGCAGGGCAGGAGCCCCAGGGCAGGGCTGACTGGGGGCCAGGACAGATGAGCTGCGCAGAGGGATGGGCAGGGCTGCACAGGTGAAGTGGGGGAAAGGCAGCAGGAGGAAACTACATGCACAAATACCCACAGGAAGGAACACTGTTAGCAGGACTAGAAGACTAGAGTCTATAAAGGACTACAATTTGAGTGTAGACAGGGACGGGGGGCAATGAAGCAAAGGGTAACCAGGGCCAAGAGCTTTTAACACATAGCTGAAGAGCTTAGCTTTAGTCTGAGGGCAAAGGGCAGCCCTGGCAGGCTGGATTTGCTGAACTGAGTCTGAACATGTGTACAGGGTGGACAGAGGGAGCTAAGGTGTCTTAGGTGTCCAGGTAGACAAGAGACCTCAGGGTCGGGGGCGGGGGCGGGGGGGGACCAGCACTCTCACTTGGTCCCTGCTCCCTTCCCCAGCTCCACCGCCTGGTTTTCAGTCTGCGGCACAGCAAGGAGGAGCGAGAGGACCTGGATGCTGATGAGCTGGAAGGTCCAGCCTCACCCCCTACACAGAATGGGTGTCCGGAGCATGCTGTGGGGATGGAGGGTAAGGCACTCCTCCAGGAGGTGGGGCCAGGGACTAGGGGAGCCAGGTTCCTTCAAACTAACTGTCCCGTGTCCATTCTTCCTAGAGACCCAGTCCCCAGCACCAGGCCTGTTCCGCAGGTGCCTGCTCTGGTTCTGTGGAATGAGTGGGGGTGGGGCGGGTAGTCCCCCAGCCCCTACCCAGGAGGCAGCGGCCGCAGCCAGGCGGCTGGAGGACATCAGCGAGGACTCGAACTGGGCCCGTGTGGTCAACTTCAATGCCCTGCTCATGATGGCTGTGGCCACGTTCTTCTGGGGCTTTTATGCCTGAGGCCAACTCTGCCGGACACCATGAGCTACAGCCAGGGCAGAGCACGGCCTCACAATGAATGGGGGTGAGGCGCCTTGCAGTGGTGAGAAGGGAGTAGGGCAGAAGCGGGAGAGGGTAGGCCCTGGCGGGAGGGGGTAGGCCCTGGTTCCCCTTCTCTCCACCTTGTCTCTTCCTGGGGCCCCGTCCATCTGACTGGCAGTTACAGCCCATGAGACCTTGGCCGAACTGCCACAGCAGTTCCCCTAAGCAAAAATAAAGCTGCTGTTCCCACATCCTGCTATGGCCAAAGTGTGCTTGCTCTAGGCTCCTATCCTGGGACCTGGGTCTCCATTTGGGCTGCTCACAAGATCTTCTTTTCCGGAGAGAGTAGCCAGGTGGCCCTCCACTCATCCACCTCTAGCTGGTGCTTCTCAGTCTTCCAGCCTGCATCCTGCAATCCTGGGGAGAGGTCATAATCAGGGTGCCACTGGGACTGCTGGGGAGAAGACTCTAGGGAGTCGGGGGAGAGCGGTAAGGAGCAGCACAGGCCAGGTGCATGCTGTGTGTACTGCCCAGGCTCCACTTGCCTCTGCTGGGCCATTTCTGGCACAAAATGAGGCTAAAACTTCATCTGGCTGTAGCGAGAATTCACTGACTTAGCACATGGGAAAGAGCTGGAATGGAGTAGGTGCTAAATGTAAGATCATCATCAGTCATTTGTGAGCAAACCTCCCCACCCCACGCCCCCAGTTCTTCAATGCCAACTGGAATTATAGAGATTGTCAATACTGACACAGCCTCAGTATCCCTAACCTCCCCATACTGCAGACAAGGAAACAGGTTAGGCAGGGTCTCTGGGGGAGAAGGCCTCAGAGGCCAAAGAGCCATGGAGCTTAAGGATGTTACCTTTCAAGAATTTTGGGAATAGCTTGTCCAACACTTGGTGTGTCTCTCTGACAATGACCCAGCTCTCCTTCTCAGGACCTGGAGGAGGGTGCAGAACGAGAAGCTGTCAGGTCCCCAAGTGGAACACAGTCCTTCTTCTCTGAGTCGTCAGCAGTCTAGACCGCGAGGTGCTTACCTGCCCGTACTTGGTTCCTCAGTTCTGTCAGTTCTCTCGGGAGGGGCCCCTCTCCCTGCAGGGCTTCAAGCACCAGTCCGTGTATGGCAGCCCTCAGGATGGTTTCAGGGCCTGCCATCTGGCTCAGAACAACTTGCACCCGGCCTGGAGAAACCCAGGGACAGACTGGTATTAGGGAAGGGCCACCTCCCCAAACACTCTCAAACCTACCATCCTGCTTCATCCCTGTCTTGAGGTGTTGGCCTGGCATAGATGGAGGCTATCTTTCACCCTTTCCCTTTCATCTTCATCTCCTGTTGTCCCAATGTTCTGGCCGAACCAAAATGCCCAATTTCCAAATACAGCTTTATAGGAGGCCACTGAGGTGGGTTTATTTTGCACGTCTAGTGAGAATAAGCACCTTTTAGCACACAACACACACAACAACCAGCAGACCAGTAAACCTCAGCATTTGTTTCCTCAACAGGTAACTCAGGATGGGAGAGAAAAGTTCTCCAGGGATAAGCAAAGGTCATAATCTTATTTGAGTACTTTACAATATATAAAGTGCTTTACAAAATCGCCTTATCTGATTCTCATAAAAACATGCAGACAATAAGGCAGGCATTGTTAGCCTCATTTTACCCAGCGACAAAGTGAATTTCATTGGGGCATGCAGCTATAATTTGAATGCACCAAGTCTTAGTCTAGAGCTCCCTCCAAGACACCGGGCAGCCTCTAAATTGTCCAGGGCTTGAGGCTTTGGAGCTGATGGAATGAGACCCCAGAAGGGTGAGTCTAGGGCTGGAAGAGCACAGCACACTTACTTTGTGACTTGTCCCAGTGAAGGAGGTAGGGTTCTTGGTGTCCCTCAACCAGCTGTTGTAGCTCAAAGACACTGAAGGAAAGAAGAGAGTGGAGTGGGGGAGGAGAAAGCAAAAATAGGATTAACCATCCAGTCAGCTGAACTGTCCTTACTTCATCTGTCTCTTACCACTTCTTCATCTCTCTCAGCCATTACCCATGCATGCGACATCCATCCTTCCTTTTTTTCCCTATGTCTAACAAATGTATCCCTTATATCTACTCAGTGTCACACCCCTGCTGCCCCCAAGTCTGATTAGTGGCAATAAGGGACCTAGAATAGAGAGGTGAGGCCCGGTCAGGGGAGGCCAGTGTGTAACTGGAATAAAGAGCATGTGTGGGGAGTGGGGGTGGCAGCGGGGGTGGATGGGAGACACTGGGCCACTTACCTGGAGATCAAGCGGTGTAGGGGGACCCCCAGGGATAGAGACAGAGATGGCCAAAAACCTGTGGGAAGTTGGGAGTCAGGATGCCCAGACAGGGAGAGACTGGGAGACACAGTACTTAAGACCAAGAGGTTGTGTCACCTGTCCACAGTGGCTCCATCTGATTAGCTGAGGTAGGCCCAAGTACCTCTCCCCTCTGAAGGAAGTGCTTCAGGACCAGCCGGAGCCGGCCTTCATTCAAGGTCTCTAGGACAAGGGCTCGGACTGCCCGGTAGTTGGCGTAGATGTGAAGGGCGGTGAGGAAGAAGAACCAACCGAGGCTGAAGCTGGGTGGGAGAGTAGGGTGGTCAACAGGGGTGGAGGCCCAGCGGGGAACCTCCTCCCTGCCCTTGATCCCGGCTTACCCAGGGCCAGCTGACACCAGGGGAAGCATCAAGAGGCTGACCAGGAGCCCTGCCAGGTTTACCAGTGTCTCCTAGAAAATGGCAGAAGGGCTGGGAGTTGGAGAGCTTCTTTCCAGGCCAGGCTAAATATCCTTGAGTACCTTTCATTACCTTTTTCCCTGCTGCAGTTCCTCCCAGGGCTCCCTACACTGATGAGGATGCCTAGTCAGTTTTTAATGAGTGAGTGGTCATTTAAGATACCAGCTGCTTCTGTGTCTAGGTGGATACAATGCCCTTGGAACATGTCTTCTTTGTTTTGCAAGAGTCCTCTGACTCTCTATAGAGTACCTCTATACTCAGCAAGTGAATGTCCTTGGAATGAGGAAGTTCTTAAATTTAGTGGTTTAAAAAGACTGATCCCCCTCAGCCCCTAGGTATACAAAAACATTTGCAAAGGGTTTAAGGGAACCACTCAGGAAGAAAGGCACAAGATCCAAACCTCTTCCCTTGAGAATCAGTTATCAGAACCCTCTAATGTCCTGAGATGGCCTGACTGAGCTCACCCAAGGGGAACAGACACCAGGCCACCTGTCCCCAACTCATCATAAGGGAGGAAGAGTCTGGATTGGTGGCTCCTGACTCCTGGAGTTGAAGGGAGAGCTGGTTCTGGCATGAAGCAGGTCTGAGGCTGAGAGAGCTCTTCCTACCCAGCTGTCCTGACAAAGGGGTGGGCTGTGGAAATAAAAGCTGTGGTTGTGATGGGAAATAGATTAGAGGTCTTGCTTGCACAAGAGCAGGAAGACCACCTCTCCCTCAGGTGGAAAGACTCATTTCCAGCAGCCACATTAAGTGGCAACAAAGCAACATCAACAGAAATCAGGGGCCTGCTGTAGGACTGAGCACATCTCCTGTGTTGCCCCTGTGATGTGTTCCTGCTTCTGCAAGCTGAGGGAGCCCCTGGGCTTGGAAAATATAGCCTGGGGGTATGAGGAGGGTTGGGGTTTGGAAAGAGAAGAGGTGAGAGAGAGAGCAGGCATACAGCTGGGAGATCCTAAAATTCAAGTCCTGGGTTGTACTTATTTCTCCCTTCCTGACAACCTATGGAAGAGATAATGGGAAGAATTTATCCAACCATTTCCTGACAGAAGGGATGTGCACAAAGGTATTCAAGAGGACTGAACGTCTTTCTGACTTATTTCCTCCTTTGTAGAATGGCAACAATGAGTCCCTCCTGTATTAATGAGTTCAAATGAAATACTTGGCACACAGCGCTTAATAAGTATTAGCTTGTGTTTACAGCTTAACACCTAATATTGTTCAAAGGAGTTAATTTTAAATTTAAAACAACTTCTATTTAGAAACTGAGCAAAACAATTTAAGAGAAGGACAGAGTGTAGGACTGGACAGAACAGAGGTTTCTAAATTCCTTCAGTGTCAAAGCTCTGTGACACTTCTGACTAACCAGTCCTCATTTTCCTCTTCTGTAAAACAGGAATAATAACAGTATCTGCCTCCTGGGGCTGGTGTGAGTTAAACAATGCAATACATATAAGCAGCTAGCACAGGAGCCTGGGAGGATCCCACACCTGTAGAGTTCAGCCTTAACGGTCCCCACCTTTACTCCAGGATGCCCTGGTCAGGTGACGGGCTGGGTCAGAAAGGCCTACGAAACTGTCATGTGGATACCTCTGGCCAATGACCCCAGCCCCCCTCACATGCTGAGCACTTTTTGACCCCCCAAGTGCTTTGACATATGGGGTCTCATGTGGTCAGACATCTACCTCAGAGGCTAGGGCTATGGCCCAGAGAGGGTGAAGGCCAGGGCGAGGGCCCACTCTTGGCCACACAGGCACTGGGAAGGAGCTGAGATGATCAGCTTGGACTTTTTGCCACTAGTACTCATGCCCTCAATCTGACTGCCTAAGTTAGTCAGAGTTGGGAGCATGACATTTCGTCCCATGTGTGTATCTCCCACCCCTACCCTTAGGAGCACTCAGGTGCTTCTCTCCATACTCCCAGATCACGGCCTGGCCTGCCTCCAACCCCAGTTCCAGCTGCTCACCTGGCTGCTGTCCTTGGCGGACACATCAGCCATGTTGTTTCTCCTGGCCTGGTGCATGGTCAGGGCAGCCCGAGTGGCCCCACCAGCCACGCTCACAATGCACTAGGTGGGGAAAGGGAGAAGGAAAGTCAGAAAGGCCACATGCTGTGGCAACAAAGGCACTTCTGTGGCTGTTTGAGAAAACCAGGCATCAGGTGACCAAACAGCAAAACCCTGAATGCTGTCCTCGGTATCTTGTTCTCATCCCCACACTTCCACTAGGTCCACACCCCCTCTTAGTCCTGGAGAAAACTAAAATTCTGCCTGTCATACGTCCCTGTGGCCTAGTCCCAAGGAACTCCATTTCTTTCCCCAGAGTAGAGGCCCAAAGACTGTTCTTAGTCCACAACTTCTACTTTGACTATACCTGCCTCTTTGCTAAGCTCCCAGGTCCAGCCTGGTTTCCAGCTTTATGCTTCCTCTCTGCCTGTAACCTATTCCACCCTCCTTCTGTTCCAGCGGAGGCCTAGTCAAGTCTTCCAGGCCACTTCAAAACCCACAGTGATGGCCTTGACCTCCCATGGTACCCAGACCTCCTCAATCCCTGAGATCTAGGATGGTAGAACTCATCAATGAGGGTCAATGATCACTGACATCCATTTCGCACTTATCAAATCTCTTTTCGATGCCTGAGACAGATTTAGTGCTGTGATATAATTCAGATAGAATCCTTGCTCTCATGAAGTCTATAAATCAAAAGACAATAAATAAACAAGTAGTCAGGCAGGCAGAGGAAATAATTTGTTCAAAGGTAAGAGGAATGTGGTACGAAATGAGGCTGGATTGACCAGATCATGTGGAATCCTGCAGATCTTGTTAAGGTCTTTATCCTAGGAGCAATGAGGGCAGGGAGATGACCTGATGTAGGATCACGGGCTGCTCTGAGAAGTAATGAAGAGAGGTGAGAATGGAAGCAAGGAGACTACCTAGGAAGCAACCAAGGTTTTTTCAGCAGCAAGGAACCAACCACCAGATGGAAGTTCAACTGAAGGTAACAGTGGGCGGGAAGGAGAAGGCCTGGATGACAGCCAGGCTTCTTACTGGTGTACCTGGGGTATGGAGGTATTAGTCACTGAGACCAGAACTCTAGAGAGGGTGAGAGGTGGTCAGGGGAAGTTCATGGCCCTATTCTACTCCTTTATATGACAGATGAAGAGACCGAGGCGCCAAAGGCAGAATATAGTGCATAATTTGAAACAGATGGCAGAGGTCCCAATCATGGGTCTACAGCTACAGCACTAGTTTTCTCTGGTGTTTCCTGCCCCGGAGTTGGAGGGGGTGCTCAGGGCACTGGGCTACATGTAATCCACCACAAATAACTGCTGTCTCTGAAATGTCACTAGTGCCCTGTGGAGAAGCACTGCCCTGAAGTAATTCTGAACAGACAGATGGGCTTTTTAGATGGATCTTACATGTCTTCTTGAGTCACTGCTCTGTGCCAGATACTTAACACTGTGGTGAAGACAGATTAAGCTCTTTACTGAACTATGCCTCAGTTTCCTCACCTGGATGTGGCCAACCTGAAGGAATTGTGAGGGTGAGCAGCCTGGCAGAGAGGAAGAGCTCGCATTCACCCCATGTGACCCTCCAGCCTTACAACCACTTCACGCTGTCCTGCCCCTGGACCTCGACCCACACTCTTCTTTCTGCTTAAAAACATCCACCCTTCACCTTAAACTCATTCTTCAGGACCCAGGCCTAGGGAAGAGGCCCATCTCTTGACTCGGCTGGGATCCCTGCTCAACCCTCTCGTAGGCCCCTACACTTCTCATCTGGAATACCTGTAGCTACAATGTTATAAACTTTTGTTTAATTATGTGCGGCTTTCTTCCAAGAAAAAAATGGGAGGGCCTATATTTTATGCCCAACATGCAGTAGGCACTCAAATATTTTACCCAGAAAATGAAAGATAGCCAGAGAGCTGGTCCCAAGATGTTGACACTGGAGCACCCTTTCTATCTTTCGGCTCAGAGTTCCTCACCAATCTTGTGGTTTCAGACATTGTCTTATATGTGAGGAACTATGTGGCTGGAGGAGAATCAGAAAATAAGGTTGAGTATGAGCAGAAAACTCTGAAGTTTTTCACTTTTCTACAAGTGCTTTGAACACAGGGCCCAGGCTGGTCTCAAGTAAGCTCAGATACAGCACCAGCAAGGCAGGTATGGGGGGCCCGAGAGGTGGATACCTTGGCCAGGTTGCTGGTACAGACGATCACGGTGAAAAAGATTGGATATATGGGAGCTATAATCTCGAGGAACATGGCTACATCGTTGAGGATATCAGCAAAAAGCCTGGGGGGGAGGGATCAGAGGTTAGAGATCAGAAGTTAAGAGACCTCCATAATAGCTTTCCTCCCCTGTCTTCAGCCCCTCCTTACCTCCACTGCTTGGCATTGCAGTCCAGTTTAGTCCTGTTGGGGAAGAGAGGTTGGTTTGCAATTTGAATTTAAGGAGAAAACACAACCCATGGGCAATGCAGGCCATCCTTAGGCTGAGGTTAAGGTCTGAAGGGCTCGGCAAAATCCATACTCCATGAAGACATCTGTCCCAACACCCTGTCACTGCTGCCTGAAATACCATTAGCTGCGAGAGAACCTTCAGAGGTCACTTAATGTTTCCCCTTTACTACATCCCCATGATGCATGAGGGAAAAGAACTAATTGTCTTGTGGCTGCTCCCCACCCTCTGGCCTCCTCGGGGAGAAGCCATCCCTGGGTCCCTCTGCCATCTCCCCACCCCTTCCTCCCACTTGATCAAGAGTACCCAGCAAGAAGTCCACATATTTTGGACTGGTAAGCAACTACATTTAGTGTAACCCCCACAGGTTACAGACCAGTAGCCCAGAGAAGACACATAACTTCCCTCAGATCATATGGAAAGCGGGGGCCAAGAAAAAAAATATAATGGCCAGGGGCAAGAGGGAGGCTCTGACATCCAGGCCGAGGATAATTCTATCACCAAGAGGATGGATGCCTCTTCTGCCAGGCAGAGGGACTCCCTGGCCCATGCACAAACACCTGGGGACCTCTTTTCCAATAGTCTGGTAGCAGGGGGTGCTGTAGCCCCAGACCAAGCGCAGAATTTACAGCATTCCCTGTCCCTTACTTTGAAACCTCCTGGAGGGAAAAGGAGGATTCCAAGGTTGGGTATGGGGCACACAGTAGAAACTCTTGAGGGAACAAATGGCAAAAGCAGAACCAGAACACGTGGGCTTAGTCTAGGGCTCTGCCCAATAAAGTAGCCTGATACTATTAGTTATAAGCTGTGCAACTTGGAAGTGATTCCTTTTAGGTCTGCTAAAATGTACACATTCAATCCTTCTCTACACAAAATTGTTCTAAGGATTAGAGTGATAAGCAGACAGCCTGTGAGGCACAGAGCTGTTAGCAACAGCTAACACTTATTAGTGTTAATAATTGTTATTATTATGCTTATAATGAGCCACAACATGCTATGCACTTTGCATAAACTATCTCACTGAACACCTTGTAGGTAGTATCTGCCTACAATTAACTGGAGATACTAAATTACTCCTCAATACTGACATGAGGAGGAAGAAGGCAGCACAAGATCCTTAATTCCTTCTAGATAGATGGTAATGCTCATTCTGTGTGAGACAGGGATCCTGATGACCTGCCCGTCTAGTCCCCATTAGCTTCTGGAGTAAAAGCATTCCTTTTGAATTAAGCATTTTCCTGTCCAGCCTTCTTTTTCAACAAGCAAAGAGAGGATACTTAGAGCCCTTTGGCTGATTTTTTCCATGGTGGGCAGCAAATTAATGCTCTGAAGGCAGATGTGATCATAGCAATGGTTCTGTGGCTTCATTGCTGGGGTGAGCCACCTGGACCGGGTACTTACTAAGGACTCCTTAGCTCTGATGAAATAACTGCTAAATCTCCCCTCCCCTGGAGACTGGTAGGAGAGAGGAGGAGCTGAAAGTACAAACTAGGATGAGATAAATGTGACCCCCGTCTGGGGAGAGTGGCCAGACCAAGAAGATAAACTCACCCCTTCCACCAGGCAAAGAGGATGCGGCCCAGCATGCCAGTTGAATCTGGGGGGAGAGAGGCACTGGTAAGGAACAAGGAAGAGCCTTGGGGGCTGTTGGGCCTGGCAGACCCTGGCACTGAAATGGCTGATTCACCTTGCGTCACCGCTCTTAGGAACTCAGTTTGGCACCATAAATATTGGATAGTCAGAGCTGTAGGATGGGGTCAGAAGTGTCTAGACTTAGCAGGTCCTCATTATGTACCCAAGAGAACTATGTGCCCATGCACACCAAGAGACATGGACCAGAAATACTTTGCAGCATCGTTCACAAACAGTCAAAGACTGGGAATAACGCAAATGCTCATCAACAGGAGAATGCATAGATAGATTCTGTTATAGTCTCTTAGTGCCATATTAGACAGCAGCAAAAATCTAATGTACAACTACTCATATCAAAATGGATGAATCCTACTATTATAATACTGCATGAAAAAACAAGCCATGAAGACTAGATACCTTTCATAAGGTATATACCTTTCATAAAGCTCTAAAACTAAACAATCCAGTGTTTAGGTATATATATCCAAACGGCAAAACAATAAAAAAAAAAAAAAAAAAGAAAGGAAAAGCAGGAAATCCTGTGTGGAAAGTTCAGAGGTTATTGTTGATATTCTAGCTCTTAGGTTGGGCAACAGGTTCACATGTGGTCATTAGAGTATCAGTTAGAAAAAAAGGATGTGAATTACAGTTTGATGGCAGACAGCTGGGGTGTGAGGCAGCGGGGAGAGGCCTTCTCAGACTAGTCAGAGAAGTCTCCAGGAATCAGCTAGACCCTCATTTGCACAACACATGCCTACTGGCTACTTACTTTGTGCCAGGCATTATAGGAGGTAAGGGGATACTGTGACCCAGAAAATCATGATTCCAGACCCAAAATACAGTGTAAAAATAAACAGCAGTCAGTACGAGAAACACTGATTTAGACCAAGGATCAGTTAACTGCTGTCCACAGTCTTCCACGCCCTGTTTTAGAAATAAAGTTTTATTGGAACATAGCTGTGCTCATTCATTTACAGACTGTCCACGGCTGTTTTTGTGAGACAATGGCAGAATCAGTTGCTGTGACTGAAACAATACAGCTTGCAAAGCATAAAATATTTACCATCTGGTCCTTTACAGAAGTTTTGCCACCCCATGATTAAAACCCCTTATATTGAAAGTAGCATTAAGTTCAGCAGGGGGATCACAAAGGACTGTTTTAGGACCAAACAACTAACTCAGAAAGCCTCACACAGTAGACACTGGAAAGGAAAGATACAGTGGGCAGAGGACTCCTAACTTGTTTGAACTTGAGCGCGTGGACCCTTAAGGGAATCCAAGAAGGGAAACTAGGTTGTAGGGAGGGTTGGGAGTATCCTACGCATATAAAGGTGGTGACAGGCTGACCTTCCCCATTCTCCACTGGAAAGAGCAGTTCTTACCCCTTGCCCCAACCTCTACCCTTGGGCAGTAAGGCCTTCTATCTAGACAGTTTATGCAACTCTGGGCCTGAGGCACACCAGTAAACACGCTGCTGGACACCTGAAATCTTTACTCCTTTCAATCTTCACCACAATCCTATGAACTTCTAAGAGATCCTCCCTTTCACAGATGAAGTAACAAGCTCAGAGAAATTGGTCAACAAAAATAGGACATTCTGTGAGAAAATCTGGAGGTCCAGCTCTTCTGCAAGTACCTGAAGACATGGCAACACCAAGCCCGTCTTCCCTTACCACCACAACTGGCTGGGGTTGAGCAGTGGCTACCTCAGAGGCATACGTACAACACATTTCTCAACCTGGCCTGCTCTGTTTCTCTATTTCTGTCCCTTGTATGTCCCTGGAAGTAATATCTACCAGGTGGCTTTATAGGCTTCCTCCATCACCCACTTGACCCTCTTTCTTTCAACTATATTTTATTCTCCACAAAAAATTTGTTTCACTTAAGATTCTTGTATTGGCTCAACTTAGTAACTCTGAACATGCCAAGATTACTCTTACTTACTGGCAGTTCACTGGGCCAGACTCTACTTTTCTTCCCTCTGACTGCACACTCATATCCAATACAGTGTATGTTTTGCATACAAGGGCCACTGGGTAGAAAGGGGACCTAGTCTATCTTTCATCAGCAGCCCGCAGTCCTTGTCAGAATCTGGAAGTTGGCACTAGGACGCAACAATGACACATAGCCTCCCTGTGTCTGAAAGTCAACACTGGCCACTAGACTAGGAAACTTAATTCCCACTTGCTCTTCTTTGCCTCACTTACAACTAGCTGAGCTATATGATCTAGAAACTTTTGAGCAGTAGTAAGGAATCAGCTGTCCACAAACTGTCTAGGCTCCACTCTAAATCCCACTGGCAAGAATGTAGTAATGAAGAGTGGGACACAGGAGTCAGTCGGTCTGGGTCCAAATCCTGGCCCTACATAAACTTAGGCAAGGTATGAAACCTCTCTGAAAAAGGTATTAAAAATGCTATCTACCTAATATGGCTGCTGTAGAGATTAAGTTACATATTACACGTAAGTGTACAAGATTCCTGGCATACAGTGGTAGGCTGTCAAAATATTAGCTGCTAGTAGTAGTATTATTATTAGTTATGACAATTAATACCACGTTCCACTAAGAGACCTGTAATTGAAAATGACTTCAAAAAATTCCAAGGGAGTTTTTTATATAAAGCTCTGCATACAAATTTCCCAGGTCTGATGGAAATGAGTTTGTAAATTCTTTTCTAGTTAAGGCTTCTTTTAATATCAACAATAGGCTTTAAAAAGTAGTTACTTTTTCCTACCTTAAAGTAATCTTATTTTTTTTTTCATAACTTGAACATACATATGGGCAACATGTCTGTGATAAGACTAGGGTGCTTAGAAATGACATGGAAAACATCAATTACTAATCCATGGTCCTCCTGCATTCCAAACACTCAGCCAACAGGAGATCGAAAGGTTCAAATTAAGCACAGTTTGGTGCTATGAAAATGAATCTGGAACTAAACTCCTGGGTTCAAATCCATGCCCTACAATTTACTGGCTCTGATCCTGGTCAAATTACTTTTTCGTGCCTCAGTTTCCTTACCCACAGAATGGGTATAATAACAATACCTATCTCAGAGCTACTGTGAAGCCAGCATATTTAAAGACTAGTAGATAATAAACAGTTTGTATGAACTATTATTATTAAAAGAAGAGACAGCTAGGACAACAAGCCACAGAGAAAGGCTACTTTCAAGAGGTGACTCACATTGGGCCAGCTTGCTCAGTCTTAATAAGGATGTAAGCAGGAACCTCCAGATCTTCCAAAAGATCCATGGAGACTCATCAGAGATGTGGCCAGACTCATGCTAGAAGCAGAAAGAGCCTTCACTGTGGGTCTGATTTAAGTTCCCACCAGGAAAAGTAACGAAAGACAAAGGACAGTGGAGAGAGCCATACATCCTCCTGATGTGGAACCCATGGCAGTTTCCCTTTTCTTCTCTACCTCACTCTTTAAGTGGCCTGGTACCACACTGTATGTTCTATTTTTCATTAGCAGTTTTTCAAGAAGTTGTACACATGCACCAGAGGTTACTATAGTTACTATTTACAGCATCATCCAGTATCCCAGAGGTTCTAAAACGCCTTTTGTCTTTCCCAGAACCTCCTCCTTCCTACTCAGCACTAACTACAAAACTGTTTTTTTCTAGAACTGAGCAATTTCCCACATTTCAAGCAGCTGGTCCTTTTATTCAATAACTGCATTCTTATGTAATGCTCCACAAAAAGCCTAGGGGTAAAGGAGAGGGGATGATTAACTTAGGGATTTGAGCTCCTGATGATTTAGAGACTCTGAACAGTATGAGGAACAGATGGCGGCTGCAAGGCTGGCGCTCAGGATGAGGATATTCTGGCAACTAATTAATCGTTGAATAAAACCAACAAAAATACGTTTAGGGACTAGAGTTGGCTCCTAGATCCAATCAGGAACGAGTCCATACATATACACACCACAGCCCAGAACTACAGGCCAGAACACTGGGACAGGGGACAGAAGGGGTTGGACTTCCCATTTGGAGGAAAAAGAGGCCAGTGAGATGGGCTGGCAGCAGCGACAGGTGAGGTTCCAGGGGCCCAGCTCACCTTTCACCAACCAGGTGGCAGTGGCAGCTGAAACAGAAGCTTTTGCGTTCCCCACCCCTATGCCCAGCAAGACTGCATGGGTAGCCAGGGAGCCTGAGAGGCTGGAAGCAAAGGCCTGGAGAAGAAAAAAGGCGGGGTGAGGACCGTGCGCAGGGGCACGGAGGTCTAAGTTTTATTACCAGCTCTCACAGATGTGTGACCAGAAACATGTCGCAGTCCCGCTCTGAGCCTCAGTCTCCAAGCTCTCAATGGAGCGAGGTGGCCCGCACTGCCTCCCTCACCCGTGGCTCTCTGCTGCCCCCTACCCCAGTTGGCCAGGCTGACCTGAACGGAATCCCATAGCTGGTAGGGCAGATAGTCCCGGCTGACGCTATCGGGGAAGCCCTGCGGCAGGAACACGGCCATGAGACGGGAGAGAGATGGTGAAGCAGTCCCGGGTGTACCCGCTCCGCCGCCATCCCGTCCTTGGGGTTTTGCTGTGAAGGGCCCAGAGAACCCCCACCAGCGCCACCCCCAAGCCTCCCACTGCAAGCGCCCGTCGGCGGCGGCGAGGCAGCTCCGGGCCGTCCCGGAACCGAACTGTTCCGAGCACAGCTGGGACTCTAGATTCGCGCCGTTCGCCATTTCAGAACTCTTCCTTCAGGGCCTCTGGACGCGAAACGTGGCAGAACTACATTTCCGGCTTGGCTACGGCGGCTGTAGAGGTGCAATCTTTCTTCGCGAAGATGCCACCGGCCTCTGCGTCCCCCTTTGTCCAGCCCAGGGTACCACAATTCCTCCTGGGGCTTCTTGGCCCCGCTGTGGACACGCCAGGGCTGCTCTCTGCTTTTGTTCTCTGTAGCGTTTGTTGCTGGACCTCGGGAGCAATGGGAGCCCTTTAGCTGCCCAGTCCTGGAGATAACTGCATTCCTGGAATCTGCAACTTTCAGCTAGGGGCAGAAGGAAGAGGGGAACCGTTGTGTTTGAGACCCAGTACCACGACAGGATTTTTAAATTTTGGGCAAGTCAATGCCCTTCCCGGGGCCTTAGATGCTGCCTTTATTTTGAGAGCAGGGACTATATATTACTCCTTATTTTATCCCCAGCACCTAACACATAATAGGTGTTTAAAAGATACAATGAATGAATAAACAAACCAACGAATGCATGGTGAGAAGGTGGACTAAATGATCCCTGAGGTCCTGGGCCTTACCCAAAACTGCAAGAGTGGGATTTCTTTTCTTTCTTTTTAAAAAATTTTAAATTCTATTTAGTTAACATGCACTGTATTAGTTTCAGAGGTAGAATTTAGTGATTCATCAGTTGCATATAACACCCAGTGCTCATTCTATCAAGTGCCCTGCTTAATGCCCATCACCCAGTTACCCTGTCCGGTCACCACCACCCCTCCAGCAACCCTCAGTTTGTTTCTAGAGCTAAGAGTCTCTTATGGTTTGCCTCCCTCTCTGTTTTCATCTTGTTTTTCCTGGAAGACTATTATTTCTGAAAGGATCCTTAGGACATCTGAGGAATGAGAAAATCAAGGGATTGCGGTTAGTAGTCTCAGAAAATAAGAAATAGGCAAGAAGTTCTTGTGTGTTTATTGGTGGAAAGGGTCCATGAAACTGGGGTAAGAGTCTAAAGAGATTGTTTCTCTCTCTCCCAACTTATACCCCCACTTTGTCCCCTTAACTCATCCCTTTTTCTCTTTCCCTCTCTCCCTTTCTCTTTCCATCTAGTGTAATGTACTGATTCCAAAGTAGAAATTTGACCAAAGCGCCCTTTATTTTATCCGAAAATAAAACATCCTGGTTTCTTAGCCTGGCTTTCTTGGACTCCCACAGTCTGACTCCCTGGTTTAAACTTCTGATTCTCTCAAACTATCACCTTCTCCTAGACCTCAGCCTGGAACACCCTTCTACCCCGCCTCACCTTATCTGAGACCTACACAGAGTCTCTCTGATGCTAAGATAGACCTGGGTTACTTCATTATTATTTTTTTACGTTTTGAGTTTTGTGTTAGAGTGAAAAATTGAAGGGTTACAAATGTGTAATACTTTATTTATTTATTTATTTATTTATTTATGTTTTTATTTAAATTTCAGTTAGTTAACATAAAGTGTAATGTTAGTTTCAGGTATACAATTCAGTGATTCAACACTTCCATACAACACCCAGTGCCCATCACAACAAGGGCACTGCTTAATCCCCATCACCTACGTCACCATCCCCCTACCCACCTCTCCTCTGGTAACAATCAGTTTGTTCTCTATAGTTCAGAGTCTGTTTCTTGGTTTGCCTCTCTATATCCTATTTTTCTCCTATGCTCATTTGTTTTGTTTCTGAAGTTCCAGGCGTTTGTTTTTCTCTGACTGATTTATTTCACTTAGCCTAATACTCTAGCTTCATCCATGTATTTGCAGATGGCAAGATTTCATTCTTTTTAATGGCTGAGTAATATTCTACTGTCTGTGTTTTATGTATAATATATAAAAATTAATAAATATGTATGTATATATTGCATCTTCTTTATCCATTCATCAGTCAATAAACACTTGGACTGTTTCCATAGTTTTTGGCTATTGGAGATAATGCTGCTTTAAATATTGGGGTGCATGTATCCTTTTAATTAGTATTTTTGTATTCTTTGGGTAAATACCTAGTGGTGCAATTGCTGGATCATAGGGTAGTTCTATATAGAACTTTTTGAGGAAACTTCATACTAACAAATGTGTAATATTTTAAATGTTAGTCTCTGAATGCATTGAACTCTGAAGCCAACCTGTACAAATGAATTCCATCAGAGGTCCTTAGTTTGAACCCACGTTCTTTCACTTAGTATCTGTGAGATCTTGGGCAAGTTTCCTATCTTTCTGTTCTTATTTCTTCACATATAAAATGGCAATAATACTAGACCTACAACAGTAGGTTTGGATTGAGGGTTAAATGAGTCACATGTGTAAAGCTTTTAAATTATGTTTGGCACACAGGGCATGCTTTTTAAGTGTTGACCATTATTTGGAGTTAATGTCAAGTATTCAAATATGGGATTTTTTGCTCCATATGAGGCAAATGGCCCTCATGACTAGCATCACCATATAAGTTATTATCCAGATCAGAATTTGTGAGCATCTCATTAGAGGAGGCACTTTTTAAAAAATTATTTTTATTAACATGTAATGTATTATTTGCTCCAGGGGTACAGGTCTGTGAATCATCAGGCTTACACATTTCACAGCACTCACCATAGCACGTACCCTCCCCAGTGTCCATAACCCAGCCACCCTATCTCTACCCCTCCACCCCCCAGCAACCCTCAGTTTGTTTTGTGAGATTGAGAGTCTGTTATGGTTTGTCTCCCTCCCAATCCCATCTTGTTTCATTTCTTCCTTCCCTACCCCTCACAACCTCCCGCCCCACCTCTCAAATTCCTCATATCAGAGAGATCATATGATAATTGTCTTTCTCTGATTGACTTATTTCCCTCAGCATAATACCCTCTAGTTCCATCCACGTTGTTGCAAATGGCAAGATTTCATTTCTTTTGATGGCTGCATAGTATTCCATTGTATATATGTACCACTTCTTTATCCATTCATCTGTTGATGGACATTTTGGTTCTTTCCATAGTTTGGCTATTGCAGACATTCTGCTGTAAACATTCAGGTGCACGTGCCCTTTGGATCACTACATTTGTATCTTTAAGGTAAATACCCAGGAGTGTGATTACTGGGTCATAGGGTAGCTCTATTTTTAACTTTTTGAGGAACCTTCATGCTGTTTTCCAGAGTGGCTGCACCAGCTTGCATTCCCGCCAGCAGTGTAGGAGGGTTCCCCTTTCTCTGCATCCTCGCCAACATCTGTTATTTCCTGACTGTTAATTTCAGCCATTCTGACTGGTGTGCGGTGGTATCATTGTGGTCCTGATTTGTATTTCCCTGATGCCAAGTGATGTGGAGCACTTTTTCATGTGTCTGTTGGCCATCTGGATGTCTTCTTTGCAGAAATGTCTGTTCACGTCCTCTGCCCATTTCTTGAGTGGATTATTTATTCTTTGGTGTTGAGTTTGAGAAGTTCTTTATAGGTTTTGGATACTAGCTCTTTCTCTGATATGTCATTTGAGAATATATTCTCCCATTCTGTCAGTTGTCTTTTGGTTTTGTTGACTGTTTCCTTTGCTGTGCAAAAGCTTTTGATCTTGATGAAGTCCCAAGTTCAGTTTTGCCCTTGATTCCCTTGCCTTTAGTGATGTTTCTAAGAAGAAGTTGCTGTGGCTGAGGTCGAAGAGGATGCTACCTGTGTTCTCTAGAGGAGGCACTTTTAACTGTTACATTGGGGAAACAGTCTGGAGCTGTTCTGGGCAAATTGGTATATATTATCACACTAATTCTGAACCTCTCAGCTTTACTGCCCACCACTAATTATCCACATTGGTTTCTCCTGCTCAGAGACCATGGCAGCTCTTGTTCACTGTAGCACTTATTTAGCCCTTAGCATATGCTTTCTGGAGCCAGTTTATATTTGCTTTTATTCGGTACCTATGTCCTGTCTTTCCAACTGAACTGTGAGGACAAGGACTCATCATCCACTTCTTTCAGAAGTGTCCAGATCAATGGCTTGACAAAGAGATTCCCCTTTTCCTATCCCCGTGAAACCTCTTGGTAGTCTGCATTCAACAGTATACCAAACACTGGACAGAATATTCCAAGCTGCTTGTCTCCTTGACTTTACCCTCATTGATCCCCACACTTCCACTCCTGTCCCCTTACAGTCCACTCTCCATGAAGTTTAAAGATCCTCTGTTTAAACTTCAGTGCCTTCCTATTACTTTTGTGGAAGGAGGTTTTTCCTCACACTTGGAAATGAAACACAAACTTCTTGTCATGGCCCAGAAAGCTCTGTAGATTGGATCTTGCCCTATCTCTCAGATGTTGCCCTTACCATTCATCCTCTTATTCCTCGCACTAGAACATAAACTCCGGGAAGACAGGAATTTTGTCTTTGGCACTGAATATATTCCTAGTGCCCTGTTCCAGTTCCTGGTGCAAGGTAGGTTCCAAATATCAATTTGTGGAATGAATGAATTTATTTTCTCAATAGCCCTTGTAAATAGTTATTATTTTTTCCCTTCTTTGCAAACAAGGAAACTGAAACTTATGTATGTGAAGTGACTTCACCAAGGTCACAGAGCTGAAAAGTGGCAAAAGCATTCATTTATTTATTCATTCAACAAATATTTAGTGAACAGATGCTAGGCCTAGTTCTTCTAGGCATTGAGGCAGGATTCAAATTTGTGGCTAATGATTTTAGGACAACACAATCTTCTTTCTACCTTTTAAATTTTGTATTCTTTGCAAGAATTATAAAAATAATAGAAGGGTGCATTCTTTCTGTGAAATAATTCAATCAATAATATAGATAGATAAGATCAAGTTCTCCCTTGACATTTATTCCTTTTTCCATTTCCCAACAAATATAAGTCAGTCCCCAGAAGTGAACATTGTTTACTATTCTAGACACACAGATACCCAGAGAAAGAGAGAGAGAGAGAGAGTGTTTTATGTTTAATCCCTACTCCTACAGGGTAGTCTGCTCTAACTATGGTTCAGTTAACATTATCTTAAAGATTTTTTAAAATGTATTTGTCAGAGAGAGAGAGAGTGAGAAAGAGCGCATAAGCAGGGGGAGCAGCAGGCAGAGGGAGAAAAAGGTTCGCTACTGAGCAAGGAGCCCAATGTGGGGCTTGATCCCAGGACACTGGGATCATGACCTGAGTCAAAGGCAGGTGCTTAACTGAGCCACTCAGGCATCCCTTTTTAACAGTATCTTCAATATCTTTTCATATCAGTACATAAATATCTACCTCATTTATTTTAATAACTGCATGTCATGCAACAGTATGAATGTGCCATTATTTCTTTAATGACTTCCCATATTAATGAGTGTTTGAGTTTTTCTGCCTTTTCATTATTATTATGGCAAATTCCTTGTACAGGCCTTTCTGTGCATTGAATATGAATAATTCTTTAGAGTTCAAAGCAGAATCATTGGGTTGAAGCATATATATATATTTTAATTTGAACAAGTACTGCCAAATTATCCTTCTAAAAAACTTTACCAATTTACACTCCTGCTAACAGTGCATGAAACTGCTTGTCATAATCAGGATATATCTATTTCTGTTGTCCAAAAAATTTCCCTTGGGCAGCTTTGCATTTTAATCTCCACTCGTGTTTGGATCTGCTGTCACTATAGATTATTTTTGCCTATTCAAGAATTTCATAGATATAGAATTATATTGTATATAGTATTTCATGTCTGGCTTCTTTTTTAAAAAAATTCAATTTCGGTGTAGTTAACATACTATGTTATATTAAGTTTCAGCTGTACAAAATAGTGACTCAATAATTCCGTATATTACTCAGTGCTCATCAGGATAAATGTACTCTTAATTCCCTTCACCTGTTTCAGTCCCCCTACCTCACTACTTCATGTCTTTTTTATTTCTCTGTTTCTTCCTTTTAATTGTATGTCTGTCTTCTTTCGCTCTTCCTAATTATTCTGAGATTCATCCATGTTGTCATGAATACCATTAGACTGTTCCTTTTTACTGCTGAGTAGTATATAATTGAGTGAATATACCACAATCTGTATATCTATTCAGTGGTTATTGGACATTTGGGTTTTTCCCATTTTTTAATTATTATGAATAATAATGTGAACATTTGTATTTGCATGCAAGTATTTTTGTAGACATGTATGTTCATTTCTCAAGGACTCTACCTAAGAGCAAAATTGATGAGTCATGTGGTAAGTGCATTTTGAACTTTATAAAAAAATTGCCAGGTTGTTTTCCAAAGTGGTTGGAAGTCCCACTTTTACAGTCTCACTAGCACTGTATCATAATTCTATTCATCCCATATACTCATCAACATTTAATCTGTCTTTTTAAAATTTTAGTCATTGTAGTGGTCATGTAGTGGTATCACCCTGTAGCTCTAATCTGTATTTCCCTGAAAAGTAATAATGTTGAATGTCTTTGCATATGCTTATTGGCTATTTGTATATCTTCTTTTTGAAATGTCTATATTAGTCTTTCAGCAATTTAGAAGACTAGATTGTCTTATTATCTATAAGGGTTTGTCATAAATTCTGTATACATGTTCCTTGTTAGGTTGTATTACAATTTTTTCTCCTAGTGGTAACAAATATTTTCTACCCTCGATAAATGAAAACATATTAATGCAAAAGTCTGTACACAAATATTTATAGAAGCTCTATTCATGCTTGCCCCAAACTGCAAATAATCCAGATGTCCTTCAGGGGGTGAATAAACAAACTGTAGTGTATGCATGTGATGTATACTCAGCAATGAAAAAGAACAACTTACTGCTACTTGCAACAACTTGCATGAACTTTAAGGGCATTATTCTCAGTGAAAGAAACCACTCTCAAATTTATATACTGTATAATTCCATTATAGGACATCCTCAAAAACACTAAATTGTTGTGATAGGGAAGAGACCAGTGGTTGGCAAGGTTTAGGTATGGGAGTGGGGGTCATTACAAGGGGTAGCATAGAGGAGTTTTAGGGGTGATAGAAATATTCTATGTCATAATTGTGGTAGTGGTTATATGAATCTATGTAATAAAATTCAGGAATGTACACAAAGGGAAATCAATTTTGTTGTATGTTAATTAAGAACATGTTATAAACAAAAAAGAAAATCAACAAAGCCTGTATAAGTATGTAGGTACCTATGAATGTTGGTTTTTCAATGGAGAAAGATGTGGCAGGAAATAAATATATCTTTAATACTGGCTACTTTGTTGGAGGAGGAAACAAAAATGACCAACTTTTTCAGTGTACATTTTTGTACTGTTTTGAAACAATTGTTTCAAAACACTTACTTCAATTAGCATTTAGTGATTTCAAAATTTGAAAAACATCTACTAAAAATGGATATTAGGAAAATATTTAAAAAGAAAAAAGTATTTCTGCTTATTTAAATACCTGATGATATGGTAGAGAACAAGAAAAATGTGTTTCTATTCTTTTTTTTTTAAATTTATTTATTTATTTTAGAGAAAGAAAGAGTGAGTGAGAGTGGGGGGAGGGGCAGAGGGAGAGAATCTTTTTTTTTCTTTTCTTTTTTTTTGTTTAAACATTTTTTTAAATTTATTTTCAGCATAACAGTATTCATTGTTGTTGCACCACACCCAGTGCTCCATGCAGTTTTAAAAATTTTTAAATTTTTTAAATTACTTTTCAGTGTACTAGAATTCATTGTTTATGCAACACACCCAGGACTCCGTGCAATACGTGCCCTCCACAATACCCACCACCAGGCTGGCCCAACTTCCCACCCCCTGCCCCTTCAAAACCCTCAGATTGTTTTTCAGAGTCCATAGTCTCTCATGGTTCATCTCTCCCTCCAATTTCCCTCAACTGAGAAGGAGAGAATCTTAAGCAGATTTCCTGCTGAGTATGAAGCCCAATGGGGGACTCATCTCACAACCCTGAGAACATGACCTGAAGCCAAGAGCTGGACACTCAACCAACTAAACCATCTAGGCATCCCAAATGTGTCTCCTTTCTTATGGGGCACAGTCTGGTAGAGTCCAGTTTTCCACATCCTACAAGTGTCTCAGTCACAAAATGTGGCTTCAATTAGTCTCTGCCCAATAGAATTTTTTTATAAGGATAAATACCTTAATACATACTTGAAACAGTGCCTGACACACATGATTAATGTAGCTGCTATAATATATCATCTATGAATTGGAGAATAATTGCCATGGAAATATATATATATATTTATATTTATATTTATATTTATATTTATATTTATATAATGGAATATTATTCAGCCATAAAAGAGAATGAAATCTTGCCATTTGCGACATGGATGGAGCTAGAGAATATAAGTGGAATGAAGCAAATAAGTCAGTCAGAGAAAGATACTATATGCTCTCACTCATATGAGGAATTTAGGAAAGAAAACAAACAAGCATGGGAAAGGGAGACAGAGACAGAGAAGAGAGGGAGAGAGGCCAGCCAACAAACAGACTCTTGACTATTGAGAACAAACTGATGGTTACCAGAGGGAAAGTGGGTAGGGGGTGGGTGAAACAGGTGATGGGGATTATGCACTTGGAATGATGAGCACAGGGTGACATATGGGATTGTGGAATCCCTACATTGTACACCTGAAACTAATATAACACTGAATGTTAAGTATACTGGAGTTAGAATGAAAAGAAGTGTCTGCCATGTAATAGGCAGTCAGTTAATATTAGTTTTGTTGGCCTGAATTTTAGTTTTGGAGCGCGGGTACTGCGATGTGGGGTAGATGGCAAGGATCTGTCCTGGGTTTGGTTTTCTGGGCCTCCCCACTTATCTGTCTTTCTTGGCCTTTCTATCTTTTAACTTCAGGGAAACGTCTCCCTCCGTCTCATCCCCTGGTTGACTTATCACCCTCCTTCAGGACCTAGATGCAGGGCGTTTCCCTCTTAGGCAGATACTTGACTCCTTGCCTACATTTAGTTAAGTATGCCTACATACTCTGGAAAGTGTGGGTGAGACATACATAGCACTGGTGGACCTGCAGGTGAGCCAGCCTGGGAGAAATGTGATCTCAGAGCAGGGCATGATTTGAAAGGTGTTGGAGAGGGGGTCCTGCAAGGCACCAGAGATCTTTAAGGGGAATGAGGGAATTGGGGGGAAATACCCAACAATGAGGAAAAATGATACTTAAATTCTATCTTTCTCTAACTTAGGCAGATGGCTCTTCTTCAGGCCAATAAGGATCTCATTTCTACAGGAATGAAGGAATTTAATGTTCTGCTGAATCAGCAGGTAAGCCCAGGCACTGTCTCAAAGGACAGGCAGAGACTCTTGGCAGATGGGTGAGGGGAGAGAAGGGAGAATAATTTAGAGCTGGGAGAGCAATGGTGCAGTTGATGGAAATCAGAGAAAGGAGGATGTTGGAGTTTGTGAGTTATTTCTGAATCACACTGGTGACTACATTCTCCCTTGCTTTCCCCTCACTCTGCAGGTCTTCCCTAATCCTCCTATACCTGAAGAAGCCATGGTGACTATGGTGGATGACTGGGTGAACTTCTACATCAACTATTACAGGAAGCAGATGGCAGGGGAGCAGCAAGAGCAGGAGAGGGCTCTACAGGAACTTGAGCAAGAGCTAAGAACTCTGTCTGCCCCTTTTCTGACCAAGTATAGGGCATTCTTGAAGTCCTTTTGAGCACCTAAATCACTCACTGCCTTTCTCCTAGCCCGAATACCCAGGCCTGCATCTCTAAGAAACCCTTAAATCCTGCCTCTGTGTTCTTCAAGTGCTCGGGCTCTGCTCCTTCATGGTGTTATTCTACCCTGACACCTCAATAAAGACCAAATTGGTTTGCTGGTCTTCCTGGCTCTTCTGTTCTTTTTCAGTTGCTGGTCCCTGACTTGTGGAGGCAGCTGGTTCCTTTTCCTTTAGCTCTGCTTCCTAGATATACTCTCGGGTGTTTAATTTTTTTAGAGCAGAGGTTAGCAGCCTTAAGTAGCCACTGGGCAGTATTAAAATAGTCTAAAGGAGAGGCCAGAAAGGCAGGGACTAAAGAGAAAGTGCTGCAGGGAGGAGTCATTAAAAAAAAAGAAGGAAAGGAAATAAAAAAGCTTTCTAGAAATTGTGGCCATGTGGAATTCTTGTCTAGAAGAAAGTTGTTGAAGACTTCCAGTCTTGTTCACCCTATGCTAGGTGGAATCAAGAGCCCACTGACCTCAATTTTCCAATTCCTTGCCCTTAGCCCCAGCTTGAACAAAGTTCTAGGAACTCATGGCTCTAATATTACAGAATACCTCCCTGCAGCATTGTTGTGATTTAGAGTTGGAAAGGATCTTGGGAACCATTCAATACATCCCTTATTTTTCAGGTAGGAAAACCTTTGGCTCTAAATCCTCAGCCTCAGCTCTCAGGTTTGAGAAGCAGAGATTCCTTCCTGCCTCTGAGGCCCCAACCATTTCGCATTGTTCCCTGGCTTAGACTTCTTTTCTCTTCAGCCTCTAAACCCTGTAAACCTCTTCATTGTGAAGAGCCTCAGAGGTGCCCAGCACCAGTGAGCAGGGGAGGAGGGATAGAGGTGGGAAGAGGCAGGAAAAGCCAGTCTAGGGGGTTGGGCACACAAATCAGAGGCTGGCCAAAGCCTTTGCTGCTGGGCTGGCAGGAGGAGAGCAAGGAGCACTCCCTGTCATTTCCTGTTTTCTCTTCAGCCAGAAAGATTTGGTGGTGAGAGGGGTTGTTTTCTCATTCCAATCTCTAGCAAATCTTCCCTTCAGATCTGTGCACTCTTACCTCCGACTTTGGATTTGGTTTGGGGGCCTCATTAGTCTAGTTCAGGTGATGTGGGAAACAAAGGCAGAAGAAAAATTATGATATTTCCTTACTACCTACAGCCCATTGACAAGTCCTTAAAACAGAGAGAGTGGCATTCCCCTAGGCATTCAACTGCCTCGATGTTGACACTTTGAGAAGGGCAAAAGGCAATTCTAGCCCTATCCCCTCCTTCCCCCATCCTATAAGTCCACATTAACATATAAAATTCCTTTAGAAATTTCTCTCTAAATCCCTGAAGATACATGTTGGCAGTCTTCCTCCAAGCATATGGCCCACCAATATGCATCTGAAGGGTGTCATGACTGAGGTTTTATTAGCTGGTAATAAATGACTTTCCCCCAACATTAGCTAGCTCCCTCAAGGTCCTGGAAACCTTGCTTCCAAAATTCCTTATAGACTTGTGCTATCCCCAAACCCCTCCCAACTTGAAAGCATATAATGGGCCACTTCTGACCCCATTGCAGTTCTTTCTGACCACGGGTCCTGTCCCTGTGCTTTTATAAAATCACCTTTTTTGCACCAAAGTTGTCTCAAGAATTCTTTCTATGCTGTCAGCTTTGAACCCTAACATTGTCCTTCCAACATCACAGGGTCCAAAGGGAACAAGCCCAGTACCCGCAGCCATCCTTCCAAACTTAGGGTGTAAGGATGTCAGGACCCATCAAGGGAGTTGAAGGCGTCCTGGGAATCAGGTGGTGAGCACCTCTGAGGTGATGTTGGTGGTCCAGGTGGAGGCCAGGGCCTTCCCACTCAGGAAATTTCAGCCTGTTAATGGGATCCAGGGCCTGATCAGTTGGGGTTGGGACAGTGGTCATACCATCATCACCTTTGCAGAAAGACCTGCACTACTGTGCATCAGTGGAGGAGAGATACTGAGGAGCCATATGAAAAAAGTATTAGATTTACTCTGTTGCTGTATGAAGATGAAAATAATGGTCAGAAGCCATTTTGGCTCAATTAATGATGATAAATTTTCCATAAATAAACTCTCTAATTGCGGGGGTTGCTAGCTAGCCATTTCTCAAATGCTCAAAGGATGATGGTCAATTATCAGGTATGCTGTGGTGGAATGGGTAATTCAACATTTAAATTCTATTCCAGTCATTCCATAAGCTTGAAATTTAGAAGTTGCAAATCCTTTTTTTATTTTTTAAGGACAGAAACCTGTTAAAACTGCATTGCATGTCCTTACATTCCTATCACCTTAGCATCTGGTTGTAAATTTAAGGCATAAAATTTGGAATGACTTTTCAGAGCTGTGAATCATCAGGATCTGATGGTGCATAATAATACAATTAAGATTACTGGGCCAATGAGTATCCCAAATCCATTACTATTCCTGCAGAAAAATGAAACAAAATTAATAAGAAAAATAATGTTTCTTTTGCTTTGACAGCATTACATGAATTAATGGTGGAAGTAAGATTATAAACAGAAGAATGAAATTTTACGGCAATAACCCTGCTTTTATCCTAACCCTAACATTGACCTTGATCCTGGGGCTGCCTGAAATTTAACCCCACCTTTAATATCACCTGACCCAGGGGATGGCTTTGAACTTTAACTTCACACTTAACCTCACCCTGACCCTGACTCCAAGTCGTACTTGACCTTGGTCCTGACCATGAAAGACACCCTTACTCTCCCAAATATCCCTGATCCTCATGCTAACCTCTCTCATTTAATTTTTTCTTTTTTTTCCGGACCTTATTTATTTATTTGTTTATTTATTTTTAAAAGATTTTATTTATTTATTTGACAGATAGAGATCACAAGTAGGCAGAGAGGCAGGCAGAGAGAGAGAGTAGGAAGCAGGCTCCCTGCTGAGCAGAGAGCCCTATGTGGGGATCGATACCAGGACCCTGGGACCATGACCTGAGCCAAAGGCAGAGGCTTTAACCAACTGAGCCACCCAGGCGCCCCAGGACTTTATTTATTTGAGAGACAGAAAGCATGCACAAGGAGGCAGAGCAGGCAGAGGGAGAGGGAGAAGCAGGCTCCCCATATAGCAGAGAGTTGGATGTTGTTCTTGATCCCAGGACCCTGCCCTCACATTGATCCTGATGCCTAAATAAGCCCTGAAATTACCTGACCCTAATTTTCACCCTGATTCTGACCCTGACTCTCAACTTGGATCTTGTTTTTATCCTTACCCTGCAATACGTACCCTGAAATTGAACTTCATGATGACCTTACCCTAACCATGACATGACTCTAAACTCTCAATATGTTGCTGACCCTGTGACCATGACCATGACCTTCACAGACCCTTAATAAGGCTCTGGCATTCAGGCCGACTTTGATTCTGAACTCAACACTTAACTTGACCTTCACCTGACCCTGATCATCAACCTGACACTGATGTGTTGATTTTGATCCTGAAGCTGATCCTGACACTATTACCACCAAGACCCTGACACGGACCTTAACTATCAAACTTTCCTGATGTTGACTTTCACCCAGACACTGACCCTGTCCCTTGACCTGATCCTTTCCCTTACTTGAACCTGCCTCTCACCAAGACCCTGACTATGAACATGAAATAGACTCAACCCCACTATATCCCTATACTCATTAATCCTGACCATGACATTCATCCTCTCTCTGATCCTATCACCAAGAATCATGTTTAAACCGACCCTCACCCAAACACTGACTTTGACCCTCAGGCTTAGCTGTCTCAGACCCTCATCTTCAACTTCACTGTACACCTGATCCATTTTCTTCAATTTCACCATATACTTGACTTTTATTCCACCTTCAACCTAAATCTAAGCCAATACTGATATTCAGATTTACACTGAGACCTTCACACTCCCCCTAACACTGATCCCCAGGCTGATCATTACTCTGAAACTCGTACTCAACCTGACCATCTTGATTCTGACCCTGAATTGAACTCTGAATCTAACCCTCACTCTGTCCTTGAACCTCATCTTCCCACTCTCCGTGCCTATGACTTTCAACTGACTTTGACCCTGATGTGATCCCAACAATGACTCTATACTCCCCATCCCTCAAAATTTAAACTGAGTTTAGTCTTTGACCAGAAACTAATATTGACCCTGATTCTGATTACTCTGACTCTAGATTGGTATTCTGACCAGGCACTAACTCTGAAGTAGACTTTTACTCTGACACACATAATCACATGACCCTAAACCTTACTTTGACTCATGCCTGACCCTGTGTGTGACTTAGATTCTGACCCTCACTTCATACACTGCATGACTCTGACCCTCACCTTGACCCTGAACTGCTTCCTCAAACTCACTGTGACTATAACATTGACTTGAAGTTTTTATTTTTATTTATTTATTTGGCAGAGACACAGTGAAAGACGGAACACAAGCAGGGGAAGTGGGAGAGGGTGAAGCACGCTTCCAGCTGAGTAGGGAGCCTGATGCAGGGCTCAATCCCAGGACCCCGGGATCACAACTCAAGCCGAATGCCTAACCTGAGCAGGTGCCTAATGACTGAGCCACCCAGGCACCTCTATAACATTGACTTGATATTCAACCTAATGTTGACTGGGCTTGTGACTTTCTTATGATCCTTATCATACTCTGATGCTGATCCTATTGTAACCTTCACCCTGTCCCTGAATTTCACACTGACACTGAACCTCTATGTCTCTCTTACCCTTATTGTATGCTCATACTCACCTTGACCATCACATTTTTCATCACCATGACCATCACCATGACCCTTAGTTTGATCTAGATATTGATCATGACCATGATTCTAACCCTGAGGTATATACTCACTGTCACCTTGACTCTGACTCTCATTCTGACACTACCTCTATTCTACACCCAAACCTTACTCTGATGCTCACTCTTACATTATGTCTGATCATGACACTCACCCTGACTCTGATCCTAATTCTCATTTAGAAGCTCTGGTCATGTTTACCCTGACCCTCACTTTCACCTTTACTTTCAATTTCATCTGTATTCTGATTTTGAAGCTATCCCTACGCTAGCATTCAATTTGACGCTCTACCCTGTCCCTGAATCTAACCTCACTTG